TTCCCTTCAATTAAATTCTCCACAAAACAGTTAATAGTGGAAGAGATGTATCAAAAGCTAGTCCATTGGCATGGGTTCTAGACAAACAAATGAAAAATCAATTGGAAGCACTAGGAGAGTACATCCTCATTAAACAGATCTTCTGATGTTTTAACTTTTTTTTTCCTACAGGCTAACAAATAGATTTTTCAATGTCTTCTCTTACTGAAAACCTACCTCACTAAATAAGAATATACTCGGCCCAATTCCAAGTTCCACTTGGGAGAAAATAGCTTATAAACCTTTGTGACAGACACCAAAGCAGGTTCAACTGTGCTTTGTAGGGAGCTTCAAAGACCAACATTTCCAAGAGGAGAAAAAACAAAGCTTGCTAGCTCATCTTTGTGACCAAAGACATCTGTACACTATAGTGCTCCTCCTTTATTTCTGGCTCACAGCAATTTGATTGGTTTTGAGCATGCTTTTCTTCAAGTTTATCATGCTTGGGTTACCAACTTTCTTAATATGCAAATTTATGTATTCATCCAATGTGGAAAGTTTTGTGCCATTGATAATTTTCTTATATTTTTCTATACCAATTTTTCTCCTCTCATTCAGGCCTTTAACAAATATTAGACTTACTTGGGTTCTTAATGCTCTTGGTTTGTTCTTTTATTCCTTCCACTATTTTTCTCTCTCTTCTTCCATAAAGATAATTTCTATTGGTCTACCTTCACATTAATTGATCTTTTCTCTGCCACTTCCATTTTGCTATAGAGCCTACACAGTGGTTTTTCATTTAAGATATTATATTTCAGTTATAAAATTTATATTTGGTTCTTTTTAAATATTTTTCTTCTCAGCTGAAAATTTCTATGCTTTTATTTACTTTGTTTATTTCAGGAAACAGTTTATAATAGTTCCTTTCAGTTATTTTATATTTCCAATGTCTTAATCATCTCAGCATTAGCATTTGTTAACTGTCTTTTTCCTTCCTATTTAGTCATATTTTATTGGTTCTTCATATGTCAAGTACTTTTAGACTATATCTTAGAAATTATGAATGTTATGTTGTGTAGACTCTGCTGGATCCTATGTCTTGTTTTAATCCATTGCTTATGTTATCAACCTAGTAAGACTCAGACTGCAATCCCTGCATCACCTTCTATAGGGGTTCCAATGTCAGTTCAGTTCTCAAAGTCTTTGCTAGAGTACTTTGCACCTAGTCTCATGATAGTGCCATTCAGTAAGGCCTGAACCTTCGGCAATAGTTTACATCTAGCTTTCAAAAATCTCTTTCTATCTTTACACATTTAAAGCTTGGAGTGAATGAGTCTAAAATATGCAAATTGATGCACAGAATTAAACAGTAAACCAACTATAGATCTCAAAAGTATACTTTGGGGGACAGCATTGTGACATGATGGGTAAGGCCCCAGCATCCCATATATGCAGCAGTTTGAATCCTGGCTGCTCCACTTCCAATCCACCTCCCTGCTATAATGAGCCTCGGAAAGCAGAAGATGGCCCAAGTACTTAGGACCCTGCCACCTACTTGAGAGACCAGGAAGAAGCTCCTAGCTCTTGGCTTCAGATCAGCCCAGCTCCAGCTGTGTGGCCATCTGAAGGGTAACCAGCAGATAGATCTCTATGTCTCTCCCTTTGTCTCTGTAACTCTGCCTTTCAAATAAATATATCAACCTTCATTTTAAAAAAAAAAAGTAAGAACAATTTTGTAGTACTTGTGAAAGCAAAAGAAAAATGACCATTTAAGTCACTATTTAGGAATGAGATAATAGCTCTTAGAAAAATGATCCTACAGCAGTAAAAAATAGATTCCTTGTCGTCCATGAAAAAAAAACCTATCAAAGACACATTTCGGGGTGGAGAGGGTTATGCGGTTAAGATGCTGGTTAAGGTGCCCACAATCCACATTTATTTAATAACCTGCCCTGGTTCTAACTCCAGCTTTCTGCTAATGTAGACCCTGGGAGGCTGCAATGATAGTTCAAGTAATTGGATTCCTGCCACCCATGTGGGAGCCCTGGATTGGGTTCTCAGTTTCAGCTTGTCCTGATTCAGTGCTGGCCTTTATAGACAAGTAGAGAGTAAATCAGAAGATTAGAGCATGCTTGCTCTTTCTCTTGCCTCTCAAAAAAAATTTAATAAAAATTTTTAAGATAACATTTCTTTGCTAGAGTTAGCAAAAGACAGTGAAACAAATGCTACTGAATAATATTTTTCCCATTAGGTTTTTAATTCTTAAAGGAAAAGGTCCATGTTTCAGCTTCCTCAGTAAATGGTCAATTAATGTTACTGACAGAAAAAGAGCTGTCCCCAACAATTTTTTTCTCTTAAAAAAATATTTGGGGGAGGGGGGTGGCGCCGTGGCTCACTTAGTTAATCCTCCACCTGTGGCGCCGATCTCATATGGGCACCGGGTTCTAGTCCTGGTTGCTCCTCTTCTGATCCAGCTCTCTGCTGTGGCCTGGGAGGGCAGTGGAGGATGGCCCAAGTCCTTGGGCCCCTGCATCCGCATGGGAGACCAGGAAAAGCACCTGGCTCCTGGCTTCGGATCAGCGTAGCTCCAGCCGTAGCAGCCATTTGGGGAGTGAATCAACGGAAGGAAGACCTTTCTCTCTGTCTCTCTCTCACTGTCTAACTCTGTCAAATAAAAAAAAAAAAAAAAAAAAAAAAAAAATTGGGGGCCAGTGCTGTGGCGCAGAGGATTAAAGCTTAAAAAAAAAAAAAAGTGGAGCAGCTGGGACTTGAACCAGTGCCCATATGGGATGTTGGCACTGCAGATGGCAGCTTAATCTGCTACACCACAGTGCTTACCCCCTTTCAATGTATTTCAATCAATCTTGGAAAACCCAAAAGACTATTTAAGATCTTTCTCACCAAAATTCATTTATCTGAATCTATGGTATAAAGCATACTGCCCAATTCTCAAAGGCTCCCATTAATTTTTTTTTTTTTGAGATCTTATTTATTGTTATTAAACCTTATTTTTGACTGGACTCAGATTTAGAAGTGGACGCTCTCAGAGAAGACAGCCTACGTCTCTTGGCAATCTGTTCCTGGCGTTTTTCTTTGGCCTCCTTCATTCTCTTGGCCAAGAGTTTAGCATATTCTGCAGCCTCCTCCTTGTTCTTAGTACGCTGTTTCTTCAGAGCAATTCGCCGGCGTTTGTGTTGCAGGACACGTGGAGTAACCAGACGCTGAATCTTGGGTGCTTTGGTCCTAGGTTTCTTACCTTCTTTGTTTAAGGGCTTTCTTACAACATACTGGCGTACATCATCTTCTTTAGAAAGATTGAAAAGTTTACAAATTCTGCTGGCTCTTTTAGGACCCAGGCGACGAGGCACCGTGGTATCAGTCAATCCAGGAATATCTTTCTCTCCTTTTTTTACAATAACCAAGTTCAGAACACTCAAATTGGCATCGACAATGCAGCCCCAAACTGATTTGCGCTTTCTTTCTCCAGTTCTCCTTGGTCTGTAACAGGAATGCCCCTTACTCAGCAGCAGGCGGACCCGCCCATGGGTCAAGACACCTTGCTTCATGGGAAAACCTTGTTTATCATTCCCACCACTGATCCGGACCACATAACCCTTCCATTCTTCACCCAGAGCGTCGGCAGCAATTTCTGTGGCCATATGCTTCTCATAGAAAGTACGAAGTTTACGTTCATCGTCCACTTCGATGAGTTTCTGGCAGCCAGTGGCTGGGAAGGAGATATTCAGCTTCATTTTGAAGCAGCTGACCGCCTCAGAGGCGCCAGGGGAAAGAGCGGCTCCCATTAATTTTAAGGTGTTTCAGCGTTAACAAGGGTATTGTATTGTGTGGTTTAACTCAAGCTGTGCTTCAGAAATGATGAGCAGCCGCTATGACCAGAAGGACAAAAGCAGCATTCCTCCACAAAATTAGATGAAGGCCAAAAACGATTACCATTATATTGGATGGGGACACACACACACACACAGATATACATTATCTAAAACTGTTAAGCTCTCATCTAACAAAAAATGTTTAATTCTGTATTGAACGTGTATAGAGAAAACAACTGAACAACTAAAGTTATCAAAGCAGCCTTACTGAGGGCATATTAAAGAAATTAGTACTCCTCTACTCAGAGAGAGAAAACTTGAGGGAGTATATAATAAAATTCCAGGAAACCATAAAAGTTATACAAACAGTTTCAGATACTCAGATAAACCAAAATCCCAAATATTCAAATTAAAATGTATATTTGGAAGTTCAAAACAAATAAAATCAATGATTATTTTACATAGCGAAATATTTAAGAGACAAATAAAGCTAAAAAACTGAGCAAACTTTCAACAGATATTTAAACTAAATCACAACAATGGGCCACAGATACTACTTAATATGGCATTTTTTACTTATAACTCTGTTCTATTTTTTAATCTTTTTATAGACAAGTTATCTGCCAGAAGCAAATGAAACAACAGTAATTATTCCTTTACTCTACTTCATAGAATCATAGCAGATTAGTAAAACATATACTTTTATATATATATATATATATGTATAGGATAAACATTCTCAAACTTAATTCTCATTGATCTCAAGAAATGTACCAAATACATTTAAAATGTAGTTAATATCCATAAAACTAAAGTTTAATTTTTAAGCTCATAACAAGTTTTATAAATACAAATTTCAAATGATAAATTACCTGGAACATTCACAGCCTTACTTGATAAAAAATCTTGAATTATTTTAAAGACTAAAGATATCAGAGAATTTCTGCATTTACTTTAACACACTGAATGTGTTCCCTAAAATTACTATACTAAAATTGTAATCCAGATCCAAAGAAGAAAACAACCTGACTTTTCATTTCATTTTTGCTATAGCTTGAATTAACAAGATATACACATGGAGGATTTTTGCTGTTAGTTTAGCATTGACAGAGATAGTAAGCTTAAACACGAAAAAAACTTGGAAATAAAACTCCATAAAGAAAAAATCTGAAATTTGGCAAATATACATACTCCTTTTGGAAAGCCATGCACATGGGAGAACTGAATCCAAACACCAGGCACATCTGGGCATCTGGGCTATAGCCATTCTGGAGTAGTAGTTCAAGACACTCTTCATGTCCTCCAAACACTGCTGAGTAAACAGGGCTCACTTTGTCTGGTCCAGTGTCACAGATGCGGTTAGTAAGTGGTATTAACAAGTCCAAGATTCTACAAATATGCAAAAAGCGGGTTTAATGTTTTTATATGCTCATATGAGAATTGGCAACATTTCCACAACACATATTTTAATAATCACCCACTGACTGGTTTAACCAAGGTTTTTTCATTTGTCTTGCTTTTCTGTGTTTTGAAAGGCAGGGCTACAGAGAGAGGAAAGAAGAGAGGGAGAGATCAATCCTCCACGCACTGGTTCACTCTCCAAATGGCTGCCAATGGCCAGAATTGGATCAGCCCTAAGCCAGGAGCCAGGAAGTCCATCCTGGTCTCCCACACGGGTGGCAGGTGTCCAAGTATTAGGGCTACCTTCTGCTGCCTTCCTGGATGCATTAGTAGGAAGGTGGATTGGAAGCAGAGCTGCCAGGACTTGAACCAGCACTCTGATATGGAAATACCAGCATTATAGATGGTGGCTTCACCTGCGGCACCATAATACTGGCATCCCTTTTTTATTATTTTACTAATTATTTACCTTATCGCCACTACTTTACTCTCCAAACTTTAAATTTTATGGTAAATATTTCAGGATCTAATAAATAATTTAAATCTAGTCTCAAAAATGTTTTCCTGGCCAGCGCCGTGGCTCAATAGGCTAATCCTCCACCAAGCGGCGCTGGCACACCGGGTTCTAGTCCCGGTCAGGGTGCCGGATTCTGTCCCGGTTGCCCCTCTTCCAGGCCAGCTCTCTGCTGTGGCCAGGGAGTGCAGTGGAGGATGGCCCAAGTGCTTGGGCCCTGCACCCAATGGGAGACCAGAAGAAGCACCTGGCTCCTGCCATCGGATCAGCACGGTGCGCCGGCTGCGGCAGCCATTGGAGGGTGAACCAACGGCAAAGGAAGACCTTTCTCTCTGTCTCTCTCTCTCACTGTCCACTCTGCCTGTTTAAAAAAAAAAAAAAAAAAAAAAAAAAAAAGTTTTCCTAAGGCCAGAGTTTTGACACAGCAGTTAAAGCTGCCACCTGTGATGCCAGAATCCCATATGGGCACTGATTCGAGTCCCAGTTGCTCTACGTCCGAACCAGCTCCCTATTAATGGCCTGGGAAATCAGTGGAAAATGGCCCCCTGCCACCCACATGGGAGATCTGGAAGAAATTCCTGGCTTCTGGCTTCAGCCTGGCCCAACCCTGGCAGTTGAAGCCACCTGGAGAGTGAACCAGCAGATGGAAGATCTCCCTCTCTTTCTCTGTCCTTCCTCTCTCTGTAACTCTTTCAAATAAGTTTTTAAAAATCCTTTAAAAAATTTTTCCTTCTTAAAGTAACAACTAGCTTTATTTTCCCAATTAATAAGAACTTTTAAAGATGGTGAGTGACGTGAAATGGAGAATAATATTTCCATCAGGAACAAAATAGATTTCTACTAAAAAATTTTATTTTCTCGAAAGAATATGAGCTTATTAAAATACAAAGCTGGTTGCAGGAAAGAAGAACTTCTACAGAAAATCATTAAAATATAAGTTATTAGATTATCTGTAAACTTACCTCCAGCAGTGAGCTGGAAAAAGCACTATTTAGCACTTTAAAACTAAAATAAAACTTTAGGGATTAAGTATGTAAGGTATACCATGTATTACCTATGTATTAAGTATTCCTCTTTCTGAGGAAAAAAAAATCAGCATTACAGAGAGGGAGAGTCAAATCTTCCATCCACTGCTTCACTCCCCAGGTAGGGACAACGGCCAGGGCTGGGCCAGGCTGAAACCGGAAGCCAGAAGCTTAATCTGGGTCTCCCACATGGGTGGTAGAGACCCAGGCACTTGGGCCATCCTCTGCTGCTTTTCCCAGGCCATTAGCTGGGAACTGGATTGGATGTAGAGCAGCCAGGACTCGAACTGGCACCTATATGGGATGAGGGCACCCATACTAGATGCCAGTGTCACAGGTGGTAGCTTTACCCACTGCACCACAATGCCAGCACCATAACTAAAGATTTTAAATATACATTTTAAAAAACTGTTCAGTGCCAATTTATGACAGGTGGCCATATTCTCTTAAGTATAACCAGGGGGTCGGTACCATGGCTCACTCGGTTAATCCTCCGCCTGCGGCGCCAGCATCCCATATGGGCGCCGAGTTCTAGTCCTGGTTGTTCCTCTTCCAGTCCAGCTCTCTGCTGTGGCCTGGGAAGGCAGTGGAGGATGGCCCAAATGCTTGGGCTCCTGCACCCACATGGGAGACCAGGAAGAAACACCTGGCTCCTGGCTTTGGATCGGCACAGCACCGGCTGCGGCGGCCATTTGGGGAGTGAACCAATGGGAGGAAGACCTTTCTCTTTGTCTCTCTCTCTCACTGTCTATAACTCTACCTGTCAAATAAACAAACAACAAAAAAATTAAGTATAACCAGGTTATTGCCTTCTAAAGTTCCTAGAACCTCAATTTACTGTGTCTCCAGAAAATGCCAATCATTTTACAGGAACTTTTGGCTACAAATTAAGAGTAACAGAACCATGGAAAAGTACTGAATTAGACGTAAGAAGAAAGAAAAATGCAACCAAAAGGTTTAAGATGGAGAGGACTATTCACCCCAACAGGGGTCACAAACTTTCTGGAATCTGGGAGGTAATGTGACTAATGCCATCAGATTGCTAGTTGAAGAAGCCTTGGATAACAGGGGAGAAGGAGGAAAAGGAGGAGGAGAACAGTCAGAAAGGAAGATATCAGAGGGAAGACTCCACACTCTGAGAAAGCACTTGAGTTTACCCTTCTCTACTCTTACTGCCTTACACCAGGAAAGTTTAGGAGACAGAATGGGGTAGATCTAGTCACCCGAAAAATTGTAGGAAAAAATACCAAGGATTTTATCTGTAGATAATATGTCTGGACCAGATTTATTCCTTAAGCTTTTAATTCCTTAAGCGTTTTTAATTTTCTGGTTTTAAAGTATTATTTCTTTACTTGAGAGGCAAAGAGCAGATATAAAGCACTCCCATCTACTTGTTAACTCCCCAAATGTCCTCGACATCTAATGGGGGCAGAAGCTAAGAGTGGCAGCAACCCAACTACTTGACCCACCAATGATGCCTGCAAGGGTCTGCATTAGCAGGAAGCTGGAATGAGGAGCCAGAGCCAGGAACAGAACCCACATACCCCAGTACAGGAGGCAGGCATACTAATCAGCATCTTAACTACTGGACTAGAAGGCTACCCCTATTTTCTGTTTTTAACACTTACTTTGTATGGCCCATTTGTGCAGCTGCATGAATAGGTAACTGCCAGTTGTCCTCATTACAGTAAAGATCAGGATCTGCCCCACTGGACAGCAAAAGCTCCACACATTTTGTGTGACCCTCCTGAGCAGCAATGAACAAGGGAGTAGCTTTGTCCAGGGCCTGGCAATTGACATTTGCACCTAATAAGATTAAAACATTTAATAGATACTTCTCATTTATGTCAAAAAAATATATAAATTTCAAAGCAACTGCTAAAAAAGCATTTCACAGTACAATAGCTTTTTCTCCTCAGTAGATGTTGCTGTGTAAATATACTTTTTTTGCTAACTTCTTTGTAATAATTTAAATGGTTTTTGCTTTTATATCAGCAGAAAAACAAGTGATTCATATTTTAGAATTCATTTTTGAGCTAAAATGAAAACACTGTTTAATGAACATTCATTCCAATCTGATCCTTCCTCCTTTATGGGTCTAAAAAGTAGGTGTTTTAAAAGGAAAACCACAAACCAGCAAATATGGAAAACATTTCTGATAATAAAAAAAAATTTCTAAAGTCTAAGATATGTCCCATAGTTGTCACTCATCAATTTAGGCTAAGATTTATGAAAAAAAAATATCATTAGATGTAACATACATAGGGACTATGCCTTAAAAGTAGCATATTGTCTTTATTATATCTCTTCCTTCATTACCACTGCATGACAAACAAACCCTACAATAAAGGAAAAAGGTATTTTAATAGCTTTATGAGATCTTCTTAACTCCACAAATCTAAGTATTTAGATGATAGTGTATAAAGATTTGAAAAGCTGAAAATGACCTTGATTTTTATAAAAGTTTTGAAAACAGCAGAATTTCTTAGATTTTTCTCATTGGCAAAAATGTATTAAATATGCTAATTATGGCACTTATTATATGACCAGAATAAATTTTAAATTTCTGGAATATGAGGGTACTTCAAAAAATTCATGAAAAATGGAATTAAAAGGTAAGTTTATTTTGGTAAAAAAAATTGTGAGGGGCCGGTGCTGTGGCACAGTGGGTTAATACCCTGGCCTGAAGCACCAGCATCCCATATGGGTGCCGGTTCTAGTCCCAGCTGCTCCTCTTCCCATCCAGCTCTCTGTTATGGCCTGGGAAAGCAGTAGAAGATGGCCCAGGTCCTTTGGCCCCTGCACCTGTGTGGAAGACCTGGAAGAAGCTCCTGGCTCCTGGCTTCGGATCAGCGCAGCTCCGGCCGTTGCGGCCATCTGGGGAGTGAACCATCGGATGGAAGACCTCTCTCTGCCTCTCCTCTCTGTGTAACTTGGACTTTCAAATAAATAAATAAATCTTTTAAAAAATTGTGAAATTCATGCATATTTTTTCATAATATACGTTTTCCACAAACTTTATGAAGTACCTTCATACATCTCAGTGGAAAATCATTATCAAGGAGAAGAAACTGTCTTTATTTAAATGGATATTCCATAAGTACACCAAGAGTTTCATAGAATCTTAAGAAATTCCAAACATGCTAGACAGCTAAAATTTTCTTGACTTATATGAGGACTTGCTATTAGCTTCAAAAAGAAGTGAACACCATTAATGAGAAAAGACTAAGTCAAGAAAGAAATTTACTTAACTTTCTTCTTAAATAAATGTTTCACATTGAGTGACAATTTCAAAAAATAAAAAATAAGAAACCAGTTCCTTAAGACCACAAGCGGAGAAGTCAAACAACATGACAACTCACTAAAAGAAGACTCATTTTAAGGAGTTACAAGCATATAAGGTTTACAATACAAACATACCTACGTACCTTTCAAGTTGCTATTTAGAGAAAAGACAAAATTTAACAAAGAACAAAACACAACAAGTATCTGGAGCTCCAGGTGACAGGAGACAGGGCTGGCACAAAGAGACAGCCAATAAGGTGCAGGTTAGCCTACTTTATTCTAACATTAGTTAAATGCTAATAATTGGAACAACACATAGGACTGAAAGTCATTAACTGAATTAGGACAGTCCTCAGAAGGTATTAAATGGCAGATGAAGGAAGATCAGAAGTCAGAAGGCCTGGTCCAAGTCCTAATTATGCCAGGAAATAGCAGCAACACTTCTGGCACTTTAGCACTTCGGGTCTGGGATTCTTAATCTAAAAAATAACGTATTTGAAGAAATGATTTTTAAAGATTCCTCTTAACTCTAAGATTTGCACACTCATTATTGACAAAAAAAAAAAGCCTTTTTAAAAAAAATTTATTTGAAAGGCAGAGTTACAGAGAGAGAGAAGGAGAGACAGAAATAGAAAGATGCTCCATCCACTGGTTCACTCACATATGGCCATGACAGCCAGAGTTAAGCCCATCAGAAGCTGGGAGCCAGGAGATTCCTCTGGGTCTCCCATGTGGGTGCAGGGGGCCAAGTAACTTGGGCCTCCTCCACTGCTTTCCCAGGGCATTAGCAAGGAAATGGATCAGAAGTGGAGAAGTTAGGATTTGAATGGGCACCCATATGTGACTGCAGGCCATGGCTTAACTAGCTGCACTTTTTAAGATGGCACTTAGGGGCTGCCACTGTGGCGTAGCAGGCAAAGCCACCGTCTGTGGTGCCAGCATCCCACATGGGCAACAGTTCCATCCCAGTTGCTCCATTTCCATCCATCTCCCTGCTAACGCACCTGGAAAAGCAGAGGAGGATGTCCCAAGTAGATGGGCCCCTGCACCCCTGTGGGGGACCCTGAAGAAGCTCCTGGCTCCCAGCTTTAGATAAGCCCAGCTCTGGCCATTGCAGCCATTTGGGGAGCGGACCAGTAGATGGAAGCTCACTCGCTCTCTCTCTCTCTCGCTCTCGCTCTCTCTGTCTCTCCCTCAATCTCTCTCTCTCTCTGACTTTCAAATAAATAAATAAAATTTTTTTTAAAAAAGGTAGTATTTAATAAGTATTTGTTTCTTTTACCCTCTACTTCATGTTAGGTATCTGAAGGTTGGTAAAGAGAAAGCAGAAGTAAGAAAACATGGACCCTGATGTTCAAGTAAACTTTGTCTTTCCTATCTGGGAGCAGTTTATAAAAAAAAGCCCAGGTACTGAAAAACATTGCCTGTCAGCAAATACAGATGTCACTTCCCTGCTCTTCACTATACATGCTTTCTCAGGTTAGTACTGTGAGAGGACACAGTGTGGGGAAGGAATTTAAAAGCCCTTGTATGATAAATCTTTCCGTTCATAGAGACATTATTACAGAGTAAGAATGCCACCTCAACACCATCTTCTCAGGAAGTGCAGAATATGCAGTTAGGTTATCACTGAGAAATGTATATCTGGCTTATGTTGCCATTGAAACAAAATTAAGTGTAAACATGCTTTGAAATAAATCCATTTAAATAGTCACATAGCTATCAAAATAAATAACCATCTAATAAATTAATTTAGCTTAAAATAGTCGTGTACCCTAGAAAGTTGGAACTCCTCAGGTTCCTACAGGAAAGCACTTACTTCATTCAAATTGCCAACTTCCCTTAGTGATAGATTGTACATTCCTACTCAGATACCTTACTAGCTAGGCATTGAACTGTTAGTAATACACACTTAATAACCAGGCTCATGAATCAACTTGTGTTTACTCTTATTTACAAAAACCATAAATGTCACAAGCATATTTAAAAATTATTCTTCCCTAGGAAGATACAGGTTAATATTCATGATCTTAACAGTACAAAGGATAATGGATTAATCTTACCCGATGAAATAAGTATGCTCAAGCTTTCTAGCTTGCCATACTGAGCAGCCACAAACAAAGGTGTGATTCCAAAGTCATCCTGGCATTCCTTGTTTGCTCCTTTTTTAAGAAGCAATTTTATGATTTCAGCATTTCCCTAAGGCACAGATTCATATTTTAAATAAGAGAAAACAAAGAAAATAGAAGGTATCTTTTTTCGTAATATGCTTTATTTTTTTCTTTTTTGACCTTACATTAAAGGTAAACTAGAAAAAGAAAAACAAAATAAAACCATACATTGTCAGATTGGTTGGGAAGGAAAGGGCCAAATAGATTATCCTACACCTCCAGCTAGCCCACTAAATGTAAACAGATGAAACACTGCTCTCTAGGAATTATAATCCTTATAAAATCCTGCAAAATTAGCTTGTTAACCCAAGGACTAAGGAGCTAACACAATTTCTAAACACACTGCTATAAATAAAATAAGACATTGCTCTTTGTCAATTTACATCCTACATGTTACGATGATCTCTAAACTATGCTATCAACATTTGAGAATTCAGATAATCCCTATAGCCCAAAGCTACTACAGCTACTACAGCAGTTAGCTTATTCAGAATGATCATTAGCATTTAGACTGCCTTTTTGGTACTGCACTAACCATCATAAATTACAAGCAAGTGGGAAGCAAAAACTGTATAGAACTGTCATTTTAAAAGGGTAAAACACACAATTTACATGGAAATGAAATAATAAATTCAGAGGTTACCTGAAAAGAAGCCTGATGCAAGGAGTTCCATCCACACATAGAATGGGATCCATTAACATTTGCTCCATGTCGAAGCAGCAGCCTTAAAACATCTATCTGTCCATTTTCAACAGCTGCAATACAGCAGTCAGAAAAATTACTGTCAGCAGAAAGGCATGTTTGTAGGCCGGGACACCTGGTGATAGTCTCATCACTTATTCAACTCAGAACTCATGATGCTCTGACCATTCTGAAACATTTATCACAACTGTCTTAGCCTAGATCCATTAACATAAACCGAATCCTTTCTGTCCACATATAAAATTATTTTCAACAATATGGTAAAAGACACAGAGGAAATGGAAACAGGAAACAAACATTTATTCTCTCTGATGATGGAGACCCTGTGGTTCTAGTTTGTTAAGATGCAATTTGGAGAGGGATAGGATGAACGGTTAAGAAGAAACAATAATAGGTTGGAGAAAGGGACTTTTGGTTGCTATCATTACCATTTGATCACAAGTGACATGAGTCACTGACAAAGCAAAAATGCAAGCCCTGCATCTTAGATATTTTTACCATCACAAACAACAAACTTTTTTTTTAATGCTATGGGAATTGCTATCACTGTGAACACAGCTTTTTGTTGAGTGGTGTATTTGATTAATTGCTGTGGACCTTAGACTGTCTTCCAGAACTCCCATACATTTTGACCTTTTTTTTTTTTTTTAAGATTTATTTATTTGAAAGGCAGAGTTACAGAGAAGAAGAGGCAAAGTCAGAGAGAAAGAGAGAGACAGGTCTTCCAACTGCTTATTCACACCCCAAACGGCCACCACAGCTAGAGCTGGGTGCATCCAAAGCCAGGAGCCAGGAGCTTCTTCCGGGTCTCCCACATGGGTGCAGGGGCCCAAGCACTTGGACTACCATCCACTGCTTTCCCAGGCACATTAGCAGGGAGCTGGATCAGAAGTGGCAGCCAGGCCTCAAATCAGTGCCCATGTAAGATGCAAGTGGCAGGCAGCTTTACCCGCTAGGTCACAGCGTCAGCTCCAACAATCACTGTTAAAATTATGTCCTTATATCTACCAATGAAAACAGAATAAAATCTTCTTGCTTAAACTAAAAGAGAACTAAAGGGAAACTAAAGAGTATTGTTTTTAAAAAATGTATATTACTTTACTATAATAATTGAAACCAAGGACTCCCAAATTGCTGCTGAATGAAGTCCTTTGAAAGAATAGTTTGCAAGTCTATAGACACAAACACCCAATATTCATGTGATTCCTTTTTTTTATTTTATTTTTTATTTTTTGGACAGGCAGAGTTAGACAGTGAGAGAGACAGAGAGACATGTGCTTCCTTGAATAATTTCACCAAATTATTCTATTTTCTTTTACATACATAATTTAACATTACAACAAGATATAGTTAGTCTAATACTATATACGTTTAAGTTTATAAATCTTACTTTGTGAGTATAAAAACAGAATATAGGTGCAATGTATTTAGAGAACACGTTATCAAGTTGACACAAGGAGGTGTAGCTAAACTTTCCAATATATGTCTACAATAAAATTTTACTATGAGTCAGTAATTCTGCTGGTGTTGAAGCAGAGTTAATGAAAAACTGAAAATCAGAAAACAGCCATATATGAGGATGCTTCAAAAAGTTTGTAAAGGGCTTTTAATAGCCTCACACATACAACATTCATAATATGCCTTTTTGACAATGTTTTGTTTGCATGTCTGTACTTTTTAATGTAGTTCTCCCATCTGTGGCAGATACATTCTCAGTGAATGCCTGAAACTGCAAATAGTACTGAACCCTACATGTGTTATGTTTCCTCCTATGCAGATAAACCTCTAATTTGGCATTGAGGCGTCATGCCTGCAACTACTGAATCTCGTAAGGGCACCATTCGAGTCCCAGCTGTTCCACTTCCAATCCAGCTCCCTGCTAATGTGCCTGGGAAAGCAGCAGAGAATGGCCCAAATCCATAGGCCCTTGCCACCCATGTGGGAGATCCAGAGGAAGCTCCCAGCTCCTGGCTTCAGCTTCGCCCAGCCCTGGCTGTTGCAGCCATATGGGGAGTGAACCAGCATATGGAAGACCTCTCTCTATGTCTCTCCCTTGCTCTCTCTCAGTATCTTTGCCTATCTAATAAATACAATAAATTTTAGCAAATAGTTTGTAAAAAAGTGCAACTCAAAAGTAAGTTTGCTTTGGTGCAAAAAAATTGTATATATCAAATTGTATGTATTACATATATTTTCATACATTGTATATATGAAAGTTCTTCAAAAAAGTTCATGGAAACCATATATTATGAAAAAACTACGCATGGATCTCAAAACACTTTTACACTAAAGTAAAGTAATCTTTTAATTCCATTTTTACAAGAACTTTTTCCAGTCCTCCCCTCATCTGGGGTTGTGATCTCCATGGTTTCAGTTACCCACGATCAACAGTGGCCCAAAATATGAAATGGAAAATTCAAAAAGAAAATTAAGAATTTGTAAGTTTTAAGCTGCTAGGTGTGCTGAGTAACATAATGAAACCTCACATTGTCCTGCTCTGTCCTGCCTAGGACACAAATCAACCCTTTGTCCCACCTACCTACTCTACCTACCCTGTAAACGTGTATACTACCTGCCCATTAGTCACTTAGTAGCCAAGGTTATCAGATCAACTGGCAGGGTATCACAGTGCTTGTTTTTAAGTAATCCTTATTGATAACAGCGAATTTCATTACTGAATATTATTATAACTGTTCTATTTTAATAGTTGTTGCAAATCTCTTAAAGAACCTAACTTATACATTAAAACTTGCAGGGCCGGTGTGGTGGCATAGCAGGTACAGCTGCCGCCTGCAATGTCGGCATCCCATATGGGCACCGGTTCAAGTTCTGACTGCTCCACTTCCCATTCAGCTTTCTGCTATGGCCTGGGAAAGCAGTGGAGGATGGTCCGGGTCCCTGGGCCCCCCACCCACATGGGAGACCCACAAGAAGCTCTAGGCTCCTGTCTTCAGATCGGTGCAGCCCCAGCTGTTGTGGCCATTTGGGGAGTGAACCAGCAGATGGAAGATTTTCTCACTTTCTCTGCCTCTCTGTAACTCTGCCTCTCAAATAAATAATCTTTTTTTAAAAAAAAATTTCTAAGTTTGGGGGCTGGTGCTGTGGCATAGCGGATAAAGCCACCGCCTGCAGTGTTGGCATCCCAAATGGCACTGGTTCTAGACCTGGCTGCTTTACTTCCAATCCAGCTCTCTGCTTGGGCCCCTGCAACCGTGTGGGGGACCCAGAAGAAGCCCCTAATCCCCAGCTTCAGATCAGTCCAGCTCTGCCTGCTGCAGCCATTTGGGGAGTGAACCAGCAGATAAAAGATCTCTCCCTCTTTCTCTCTCTCTCTCTGCCTCTCTGTAATTCTGCCTTTCAAACAAATAAATAAATCTTTTTTTAAAAAAAATTCTAAGTTTGGAGAAATAGTTCCTGTAAGATAGAGGGCCGAGACGTGCATAAGAAAGTCTAGCTTCACGTTCTTGGGTGTAAGAAAGAAGGTTTAAAAAACAAATTTTTTCTTTTATTTCAAGTATTTCGTTATTCGATTCCTCTGACTAGACTAGGAGGCAGGATATGGAAATCAAGAAAATTCAGCCACAAAATTAGAAAGGCACTAGACATTTGCATGATGGGTCATACTTAAAAATGTTAATATAGATGAAACAAAGGGGACGGTAAAATCCTTAAAAGTGTATGACAAAAAAGGGTAAGTGTACTCATTAAAAATGAGTAACATGCCAACAACAGTCTATTAGTTTTATATACTGAATTTAGAACAGTGCTTATTTCCCCATAAGGACTCTCAGAAGTCTCTTACCCTGGGGAGTTTCAGAAATGTAAATAATCAACGGCTGTGAGAGTGCCACTAAGGCAGAAGTTTAATATAACTTATTTTTTATTTCTAAGTTAATAGTCAAGAGCACTTTGTCAAAGAAATAATATTTTAAGCAAAATTAATTTTTTAAAAAGATTTATTTATTTATTTGAAAGTTAGAGTTACAGAGAGGTAGAGCAGAGAGAGGGGTCTTCCATCTGCTGGTTCATTCCCCAAATGGCCGCCAACAGCCAGAGCTGGGCCAATCTGAAGCCAAGAACCAGGAGCTTCCTCCGGGTCTCCCAAAAAGGCACAAGGGCCCAAAGACTTGGGCCACCTTCTACTGCTTTCCCAGGCATAGCAGAGAGCTGGACTGGAAGTGGAGCACCGGGACTTGAACTGGCGCCCATATGTGATGCTGGCATTTCAGGCAGTGGCTTTACCCAGTAGGACATAGCACTGGCCGCCCCAAGCAAAATTAATTTCCTATGGTCAATCTAATTTTTGGTGGAGGTCATGATAGAAAAGAAAATCTGTTTCATACCCAACTTAAACATTTAAATCAGTGACTGCTGATTATCACGTTACTGGCAATGACATATGAATTAGAGAAAAAGTAAGTTTGCTTTCCATGAATTAGGATGACCTTTAAAAATGGAAGCAAAAAAACAAAATGCTTTAAGTTTTAAATACAGTATTAAAGTCCCACAGAAAAATTGTTTTTACTTTTAACATCATAAATACATTAAGTTACCTGATTTCTTTTTTTTTTCTTTTTTTTTCCTTTTTTTTTTTTTTTTTTTGACAGGCAGAGTGGACAGTGAGAGAGAGAGACAGAGACAAAGGTTTTCCTTTTGCTGTTGGTTCACCCTCCAACGGCCGCCGTGGCTGGCACGCTGCGGCCGGCGCACCGCGCTGATCCGATGGCAGGAGCCAAGGTTACCTGATTTCTACTGAAAACATTTCCCAATGGCAAAAAATTAAACCTGTATATGAGCAGATAAATGATATTTTCATAGCTCTTGCTAATTTTTTCAAAATAAATTAGTGGTCAATAATTGAGAAAAGATGGTTTATAAGAGTTTAGTTAGAGCTTAGATTTATTCCCTAAATCTCTACTTTAGAAGAAGTGCATTACTGCCTTTATGTAACAAGTTGGAGTTCTCAAACTGAGGGATGGGGGAGATTACAACTGTGCTGAACAGCTTACTTCCAAAAAGGCAGCCATTCTACGCATTTTCTCAATACTACCAA